GAGAGTATGATGGGTGCTATGCGATCCAACAGTCGGCACATTAGGATCGACTTAAGCGATATAAACGGTTATGAATCAATAATTGATAGCGGTGTGATAAGAATACAAGGTCAGCTTCATGATTTAGATGAATATTAACCTGAGGGTGTGGGTGTGAGGTGTGGCTGTGGTTGAAAAGGAAAAAAGTACCACAACCACACCCACACTCCACACCCATACCCCACCCACACCCACACCCCAACTTCAGATCCTTGCCTTTCGACAGGGTACCGAGGGTATGTGTTTAGCGATTTTGTCTATATGAGCAACGTGCCATAAGATTCAGTCTTTAAAAATGTCTGTAAGTAATAAGAATCACATGACAGTGCAAACAGTGGATTGTGGTGTTACTAATGATTCGTTCGGAGATATTGAAATCAGAAGCGGTTTCAATTCTGCCAAAAGCTTCTCACGATCTTCTATTTTCAATTGATCTAGGTCGTGTTTAATATCCGTGCATATTTTTGTGTCTGGTTCACTTTGTATTTGTAAATACAGATCATTCAATTGTTGCCCATCGTATTGGCTGAAAATCGGTGATAAGAACATTAAGTGCTTATCAATCAAAAACTTCGAGACATGCTCCTTTGTCCATTCAATCAACGGCAACTGTTGGTATGAAAGGTTTAAAGAAGAAGTGTGTAGTCGTTCTGGGCGACCACCGGGATATTTTATGTGATTAATATGGCGTAGCAGATGTTGGAAGGCTGTATCAAAGTCTGTTTTTGTAAAATCAACGTGAATTTTCGAGCCGAGTATGAGTTTCAACCATCCAGATGGTTTGTACTCTTTTTCAACTTTCACAGGGAGGATATTGCGTTCGCAGTTCCAAGCATATTCAGCTTCTGCGCGGCATGCTCTCGACATGCGATAAGACTCTGAGAAGCACATTAATATGGTTCGTGATTGGTCGATAGCCTCACTCATACCATCGGTAGCAGTTCCATACAAATTTTCTTTATCAATCCAAATCTTGAATTCATTCAGATTCACCAAAGATTCATAAATTCTATGACATATTTCTTTGTCTTTATGCGAATAGCTAATCATGAAGTCGTATTCGTTGTCTGCCAGAGGACTAGGATTTTTATCAACTACTTGTATTGTACGACCAGGTGCAATTTGAACTTTTTGAAAACGGGGAACTGATTCTAGCTTTTGCTGTTGTGCACTTTTGAGTCGACTATTTTCAATTGCTTTTTCCTTTTTCTCAATATTCCATACGAGACCGTCCGCTGTTCGTTGTAGTTGTAAACTTTCGCTGCCAGATGACGCTATTTTTTGAGCTGACATTCTGACGAATTCCATCAGCTTGCTATCCTCTTTTAACAGTCGAATTGCTGATTCAATAAACGAGGTAGCATGAAGTACATTAAGTGATGGAATTTGGATTTGTATATAAATTCCACTTAAGGCTTCATCAGTGGCACAACGAGACAACAGTGGTATGCCTTTTTCTTGCTTCACTAATTCTTTCTTCACCTCATCGTTTTGGACTATACCTACAAATGTCAACAAAATATTATATTGAGGATATTCATATTTTTCTACGACGGCCTATGCACGTTAAAAGATGTGGCGTGGGGGTGGGTGTGGGTGTAAGTGTGGTGTGTGGGTATGGATGTAGTTGTGTGGTGTGGGTGTGGGTGTTGGTGTGGGTGTTGGTGTGGGTGTTGGTGTGGGTGTGTGATGTGGATGTGGGTATGGGTGTGTGGTGTGGGTGTGGGTGTGGATGAGTTGTGTGGGTGTGGGTATGGGTGTGTGGTGTGGGTGTAGGTGTGGGGGTTGGTGTGGGGTGTGGGTGTGGGTGTGGGGTGTGGGTGTGGGTGTGGGTGTGGGTGTGCGGGTGTGGGTGTGCGGGTGTGGGTGTGGAGGTGGGTGTGAGTGTGGATGTGGGTGTGGGTGTGGGTGTGGGTGCTATTTTTACCAAGCACGAACATGAACACATCACAACCACACCCACTCACACCCATACGCAAGTTGAAAAGATTCCGTAGATCTTCAAAAGCGCTAGCGTATCAATGCTCTCTAACATTTTTGATAGCGTATCTTAATTACAAAAGACAAGTAGTATTTAATGATTTCAGATAAACAATTTTGACTCTTTATTTAAAGTAAACAAAGTTTGTGTATTACTTATAATCTGCGCAATAAGTTTTCATTGTACAAACTTTTAAACAAACTAATATAATGTGATACAGCGTTTGAAGCTCTGAAAGCAATAATACCATTTCCGTATATTTCTTTATATACGTCAACATCAATATACGCAGATGCATCAGAAATATACTTTGTACTTTGAAAATGATGCTGTAAGTCTGACAGATTTCCGGCATAGCTTTTGGCTTCTTTTTGTACCTATGATACATATGTATCAATCTTTTCTTTGAAAGTGAAATGCGAAGCCTTTTTGAAAATGTAGAATCCACAGCTATTAAAGATAACAGAGATATTGAGGAAACACTGTAAAAACTTTAGTCTGACCAGCCCCCTAAGAATGCTTTTGCAAGCAATTGTCATTATGCATCTGTCATATTAGAAAATGAACGTCTTTTCTTTTATTTGGGATCCATCTTTTTATGAATTCACACTCAGTTAATAGTCAATCTTATTAAAAAAATATTATCCGAATTCATGAAAACTAAAGTGGATATGAAGAAACTACGAAAATCCCCGTTTTTCATAGGTTTAATATTAGATCAACGCGCCGAAAACTAACGTAAATGGACTTCTTCGAAAATTGGCTAAGTAGAAAGAAACGCTGGCTAACAATATGCATAGTTAGCAGCTGTGATGCAACAAAGCTTTCACGTCCACATTTCTATGCTTCTTCACGCTTGTCCGCGTCCTCAGTCACACCTTCATTGATTGAACTCAGAAGATTTAGATACTTGACACATTCACACTTATATAGTGAATAGCTTTAAGTAATCGAACAATATTCATGAAGCCTCACGGTCACTGAATCAGAAATCTCCAGAAGTTCCATTTGTTTATCTTAATCAAAGAATCAGAGTTTCATAAAATATGTTAGCATGTGTAAACCCATTCTTTCAAGGTAGAGAATTAAATGTGGAGCCACATAGACTGTAAATTCAAACATCGATTTTCTGACTGATTCTCGGCGGAGCTCTCTATTCTAAGTCTCAGATTTGATTTTCACTTTTTTTATTTATTTCTTAGCTTTATTTTTTTTAAATCTCTTTGTCACGACGATATCGTAGGTATATACGTGGTGATAACGTAGAATAGGGGTAAGAAGTCGTTGTCATTTTTAAAATAACTTTCTCTGATATTTCCCAAAAACTTTATATACAGTGCTGGCGAAATGTTCTTCACCCTATGAACTTCACTTGTAATAAGCGTTAGATAGCTGAAATTTTGTGTGTATATACTATACGACGAATGCTGATCCTAGGCACCAGCCCCGTCATAATTGCTCGAGTTAGAACGAAGTTATAATAACTAGTAGTCATGTCCGTTGTGAAACCCGTAATTTGAGAAAGGCAAGAGCTTTTGAGTCAGCCAACAGCTCACTGTGTAGTGCTCTATTCTAACTATCTATAGTATACATTTCAGCGAAGTTTATCAAGTCATTGTGGAGTTACGACCATTTTACTATAATCATTGATGTATACGAAAACCAATTAATGCCATTGTGAAATTCAACACTCGGTGAAAGCTCAATGGATCCATGTGAAATTTTCAGGAAATGCTCCATAAGAGTGCCCATTGCTCCCTGAAAGTTTCAGAAGCAAACATTGTGTTAGAAGAAAATGGCATATTCCTCATCATCAAATACTTGTCAAAGCTCTAGAAGTCCGAATTCTTGAGCAAATGCACTCATTTTTTTATCAATGAAAGATAATCTCTGGTGCCTCAGGATGTGGATGTCGGTGTGAGGTGTGGGTGGATGTGGGGGGGGGGGAGAGGTGGATTAGGGTGGAGGTTTGAATGGGAGTGTCGATGAATAGCAGATTTAGACGCACACACCCACCCACACCCATACCCTTCTGTGCATTTTGGTTAAAGTAAGTTGAGTGCTGTCGACTTGTTAATGCCGACGGTTTGGGAATTAATAGATATATATTGACTAATTCAGGTCAGTGGTACATGCTTCCAACGAAAAGTTCTTGAGAATCAATTATTCGAGAATGGGACATACTATACAATATCAAAATGTAGGTGATATTGTTCCATAGTTGTTCGTCAGCATAAGTTGCAGGATTTCGACGAAATGTAATTCTGTATACTTGTGAAAAAAAGAGTCATTTTTTTCTATTTACTGATAATTCTTTATCCTATGTTTCATAAAAAGTGATCGTTCATTCATGTTGGTCCACGTAATTCTATGAGGTGTGGGTGTCCGTAAATGATTTTATGGGATTTTACAAAGTCGTATGATCGGAGTATTTTCATAAATTACGCATAACCTTCTCAAAGCTTTCAATCTTGATATAAAAATATACTTTAAAATCAGATTCTTTCATAGCACTTACGTTGAAAATCTTCTAGCACCACATGCAACTTAGCTTCGCCAGGGTCGTTGGCAGAGTGATCGATAATTTTGTCTACACATTCGACAAATTGCTTTGTACTTTCTACTGGATTGTCTAAGTAGTCAACATTCTCCGTCATTTTATCAAGTAGTGTTCTTGATGTGAAACAAATGTTTTGATACTTTACATTACATAATTTTTTACAGGTACCCACGATATCCTTCTGTCGTATTTTAACAAGAATATTTTGGTCGGACGCTAAATTGGATAAAATATTCATCGAAAAATAAATGATATCAAGTTGTGCTCGATCATCATCTGCAGCGTCCGGCACTGTTTCATTGGAAACGAAATCCAAAAACTTTTTTTCTGTTATGATTGACGTGATATTATGAATAATATTCAAGTTATGAAGAAAGTGCTGAGAGCACGATCTAGCAATAGCTAAAAGATTGATCAGTTTCAGATGAGCTACAATACATTCAAGATTACCAAAGTCAGTAATAATTTGTGGTAAATGTATATCAAATATCTTATTACTATATTCCAGGAGAGTTTTACATAATTTACTAGCAATTATATCTAGATTCTTATCACAATGTTGAATCAAATACTCCGGTAATATTTTAATAAACAGTAGTTCTTGCTTATCAAATGTTGACGAAACCATATTTACTTCTTCGAACATAATTAAATAGTATTTAGAGCAAATGCAGTCGGCAATTGGATTCAGTAATTGTTGTAGAATGTCAGTGACGTCGAATGACTTTTCTTGGATCTTTTCATATAACGTAATCAATGAGCTTATTGCTTGATATTTGAAATGATCAAATCTGTAACGATTGATCGCAATATCCTTTAGACATTTTATAACACTTCCTATAAAATCCTGATTCAAAAATATTTTGCGATAATATTCGAAATATATCGTATTTAAATCACTAGAAAGCACCGGTGAACCATTTATGCTTTTCATTCCTGTTGACAGATTCAAAATCTGCGAGAGAAAATCTATAACTTGATGAAAAAAGCTTTGTTCATTTGCAGATAAAACTGCGGTATTGCTTTCGTTTGATTTCGAAAGTAACTTTTGTATTGTACTACCGATGCGAGCAAAAAAGTAATGATCCTTGACAATAACGGGATCAGCAGTTATAATTGCAGGAGCTTTAGTATCGAGAAGCTCTTCAACAATACTAGTCGCCAGCTTTAGACTATCAGAGGTTGATATATTGTTTTGATTTATTTCGTTTTGATTCCAATATGCAACTATTTCATCGAATATATCTTGCAGCTGTTGGATAGTAAGATTGTCACCATTTTCTCGTATAGTAGCACATTGACGCTCTAATAGGAGCTCCATTAATAGAAATCTAAAGTTGTATTAATGAAAGGATTCAAAATGATCAGTCTATACGAAAAAACTGAGATGACCTTACGAAAGTCTGGGTGTATATAGGAGGATGGGGTGGACCTGGGTTTGGATGAGTACAGGGTCGGAAAGAATATTATTCAAGGGGGGTAACGATATAATCCCGAATAGGAGGTATGATGAATTTTATACAAAATGAAAGCCCGTGAAAAATGGGGTTTATTGATGCTAAATAGT